GGCCGTCCGAGGCGGAGATGGCGTCGCGGGCGGCGTCCCGGGCCCGCCCGCGGGGCTCCCGGGCGCGCCCATTCACCGCCCTCGCAGAACAACGGACCCATTAGCGTGGCGCGGCCGAAGGGCGCCGGCCAGCCGCCGTGCGGGCGCGTCGCGAGCAGGCGAGCTGGAGGGCGTGCGGAGCGGGCGTGCGCGGCGTGGGCGTTCGCGGCGACCCGATACGCGCCTCGGCTTTCGCGGTCGAGCGCCGACCCGCCCTCCACCGGTCACGCGCCGCCGCCACCGCCGCCGCTGCTGCTGCCCGGGAGCATCTGCCCACGACCCCGACCGACCGCCGCGCCGTGGCCGCCTCGATCGGGTTTCTGTTCTGCACGCGCATCGAAGTCTCCCGCTACGTCGCTGGGGTTTCGAAGGGCGTTCCACTCCACGCCGATGGTCGTGGCGAGATTTCTACACTAGCACTGCATGGAGTTTATTCGATTTTAGATAAATTTCGCTCGTGAAGACATTCATCTTTATGTTACTGAACTCGAAACCCAATAGACTTTTTTGGTATCAGTATTTAAATTTTGTTGCTACTGCAGTAAGTTTTTGACTATTAAAAATATATACTGAAGCAACTGAAGTCTTAAAATTGGGGCTAGAAAGTAAAATAAATATTGTTGAATTAAGATATCGTTATTTTTCTATTTTTATTGTTTCACGTCTACCTTCAATAATAATTAATAATTGACAATTAATGTATTCTTCGTAGATGTGTTATACTACCCAGTCGTGAGTACGTTCTTGCTTAACCACATTTATTCCCGGAGATCATCAAGCTTGATTTTATATTGGAAATATGTATATATGTATGTATGTATGTATGTATGTATGTATGTATGTATGTATGTATGTATGTATGTATGTATGTATGACCTGCTACTGAAACATTTCCATGTCTGACCTGCCATGGAATGGTTATATTTTGCGTCGAAAATGTTTTGGTCTCAGAGGTTGGTGGTGGTTGTTCGACATTCTTGCATGCAAACTGCGCTATCTATCGAAGATTTGAAAACGACGTTCTCTAGACTGAAATATGAACGTTAAATTTATTTTATCGTTGAACGTATAAAATATTTGGCGTCAATTGAGGGGTAAATAGTAATAATATATACGTATAGACTTCCGTGATTCCTGGTCATGAAAATAAATTGAGAATAATTTTTGTGTACGTAATGTTGCTTTCATGTTTCGTTAGGTGAGGTTAGAGGAATGTACTACACTCTTAGTGCTTGTGTATCGCTCTACAGACTTCTTTCGCACTGAAAAGTCGGTAGTACACATCACAGCGGAAAGTACTACTTCACGGACCCAAGAACCGGTCCTAACTCTATTGCTTTCACTGTTCTACGCAAAGGCATGGATTCGAGATTTGTGCTTTGGCCATAACTGAAAGGTACTGAGTGTCCAGATGTATTATGTAACATAATATTCTTTATGTTTCAAGGTTAATAAATATTAGCTAAAGAAATGTTATTGTCATAAACGTAGTAAAATATATATGAAGCAAATAAAACATAAAACTGATACTTACTATAACACATACTCGTAATAGTTTGGTGAAAATCTGCTTGAACTAGAATAAAATTCAGTGAAATATTAAAATCAAAAATACTCAGACTATGAAAAACAAAACCAACAAAAAACTGACTGCTCTAAAAGAAATTTGTCTACGGCGGTACAGTGACGGTCGATTAGCTTTCTCAAACAGATGCTTGTATAACCTTTATAAGAAACCATGTGCTTTAATGAGTTCTTTTTAGTACTTATCTTGCTTTACGAAAGAAAAGACTAATTAAACATTGTTTTTTTATTTTTAAAATCCAAACTAATCATTCAACATTTGATGGTTATAAAAACTATTGTATGTAAAATTACTGGAAGGATATTTCGGGGAAATAGGAAAGAGTTGCACTTAACTTCTGTAGCCTGCATCGCCCGCCATAATGCAACAATTATTTAAAACTTTCTTTTATTGGTTCATCGACGAAGATAAACATAGGCAAAGAAAATACACACCTACATACATTACCCTGCTTGAAAAGCACAGGCGCGGGCTGCGCGCAGTGTGCTCCAGTGAGACACATGGCGATTCACGTCCAAGAGTAACAAATATTCAGTTCGACCGCAGGCTGTTAAACGGAGCCGTTAACGTTACAGGTTATTAACTTTTATGGCGATATCCCAGACCCACAGTTTTCTTATTTGTTACCTTCCCGGCCTTGTCGCGGACCCATCAAACGAATCTCTGCGGGGCGATCCACAAACCAATAGAACGCACGGGTCATTGACGATAATTGAAAGTGAAGCGAGAGGTCAGGGGTAGGAAACTGAGAACGAAGACAAGCTAGAGATAGATGAATAAGTTATACAGAAAAGAGATAAACAGGGAAAAAGGGAGAAAGAAATTAATATTTATTTTTCTCGAATTTTAGAAATTTGAATTTGTTTATAAGATAAAATTATCAATATGACGTGTTCATTCTGTATTATTTGCGTTTTGGTGTTTCGTTGTTTTTTCTGCTCACTGCGAAGTCTAGAACTTGTTTTAAGACGCATGATACTTCTGAAAAAGACCTCGCATGCAAGGTTGGAATCACGAGTAAGAAATGGGCGCCAGAAGAGATCGCCGGCGGGCTCGAGTACACCACCTGCTCCCAAGTGGAACACGCTTCTAAAACAAGTCCTGGTCGCGTATGGAATGTTACACCGCATTACACGTACTCGCAACGTAAGCTTCAGGCACCATCCGGTCATTACCTGTGAAGTCTGTTCGCCAGCGATGTTGAGCGACCAGTCGACGAGATAAGCGAGCGATCACCGCTAGTTTCTTTAAACCAATGAGAAGAGAGAGTGCTGAAATTATTGAGCTCTCGAGATCTTTATACTAGATTATCAATATTTAAAACGCACAAGTTAATCTCGAATTTTGGACGTCTTGGAAATCAATTCGTGAAACCAAAGAAATGTGTGTCTACCATTGGTCACCACCCGGGTATTTTAGTCTCCACTGACAAATGCTCACTGCTACTAGCTAGTTTACTTTTTATAATGATGCCAACACCTAAACTTTAAGGCATTATATGGATTGTGACATGTTGAATACGTGATTAGGACGATATGATGTAAAAGATTGAACGATGACGGAAAGAAAGGCAGGAGAGACGGGTTTGACTAAAAAAACCTCCCACACACCTGCTTTGTCCCCCTCCAATTGCACAGGGATCATCCACGATTTGAACCACCGCCTGTGCGGTGAAGCGCAAGGACTCGGTTCGCTTCCCCACGGATCGCCCCGCCGTCTGACGTATCCACGTAATAAACGAAGATATATGAATATATCGCGAGGTTTGATACATTGCTACTCGGTCAATTGTTTAACTAAAATGAGGCGATGATTTTCCTTTGGCATTGGAGTTGAAAAGATAAACGTGGAGCACGGACATAACATAGCAGATACTTACAACTTTACACAATTAAAGAACCCGACAAAACAAAAACATGGGTTGAGTCTTATGTTTTGGAAAACAGAAAATATATCATCCAGAGATGTTAACAAACCAGCAAATAATATGAATACTCAGAACTGAAAGTTGTGTGTAAACTGGGCATAATGAATATGTCAAAGTCTACTCAGTTCAACCATTAGCAGGCACCGTGACAAATAACATGGCAGTCTACGTGAAGTGTGTTTCGCTCCGTCTTTTCTCGCTCTTGAGACGCACCGCATCCAGCACGCGGTGAACAACAGGTCTCCTCGAAAGAAAAGGGACGGCATCCAGTGCGCGTGTGCGTGCGTGCGTCGGGCCCGCCGCCCGCGAGCGTTCAGGGAACCGGGGCGGAAGAGGGCAGGAGCGGGGCGAGTGCACCCGGGTACTCACTTGTCCTGGAAGCCCTCCAGCTCCTCCTGCTGCTCGCTCAGCGACGCCTCCAGATCCAGGTACGAACCGTAGTCGCCGTCCTTGTACAGCTGCAGGGCCGCGTCGTCCAGCTGGAACACAGGAGAAGGCAACGGAAGGTCAGTTGCGTCCGAAAGTATAACAACACTAAATAAAGGATATACTGTAAGGAAATGCACACGAATTAAAATTTAGAAGGTCTGAAGCAGCAAAAGCTGCACAATTTTTTTAGAGACATTTTAATATTGAAATAAAACAATTATACAGTAGAAATGCAACGAAAACATTTTATGAAAGCATTCTTCAGACAAACTGCCGCCGTGAATAAGATATTACATTAGCTACGCTGGAGGGGCGAACCCGAGTTCATAAGCTATAGTGTCACTGCGCAGGAGCGTCTAATATAAACAGTAAATAAGAATATAATTAGACGAATGCCAGTTACTCGTCTCAAAAATTTTAATATATGAAGAAACATGAATCTTAATAAGAACTACTTGGTGAATGAGATAGGAATATTATTCATTCCTAAATTCTCAGTAGCAAATAGGTGCACTGACTTAATGGACATTTTTTCAGCAACTCTATGCTACTAGCAAAAACGTTCGAACATTTTTAACAGTTTTTTTATAATCCATTATCATAGCATTTCATCAAAACATCATTTTCTAATATTCGCATTAGATGTCGCAACAGATGCAAGGAGTATGATTAGATGACGTGTAACATGACAATGCAAAAAATTTCGAAGTAAGGCCCACCCAAATGCAAAACATTGCACAGCAGTTTCTGAAGTAGAACAACCTTGAATAAAGAGATTTGTAACACTGGAGTATTTTTGCAAACTCACATCACGAAATTCAAAATCGATTAGTGTAAGGCATCTCAATTATTCGCCGGGAAATATTAAGTCTTATTTGTGTAACTTAAAATTTAAGAAAGAAATGAGTATGGAATCCAGCATACGACAGACAACAATAGATTATTAAATGCAATCATTTGTAGATTTCCATCAATTTGTTTCCCAGTTGTAATAAAAATCAAACTCAAAATCAATGTTCTAAATTACGCTACATTCATTTAAGAACGGAAATTTACACCGAAAAAAAATTAATCGAAATAAAATTCATTTCTAAAGATACACACTATTATTTTAGTAAGCTGGTGTGACAATTCACTTCTGATTGTACGTATTCAGGACAAATAACAGCTGTTAGTCCCGCAAAGCTAGTACTACGTGAGAGTACGGGAAGCCACGCATCATTACTCAGAGTTACAACGCCACAAACGTGTAACACAGCTGGCAAGATACGAAGCAACTGTGTTACGGTGCTATCGCGAGTGCAACACAACCGAGAAAGCACATCTTTTAAATTATAAAACCGACAAACAATGAAGATACTGTATCGTTGTCACAAGTCCCTGTGTAGTGAGACATCAACTGAGAGGATACATTTTATACAGAAAAAAAATTCGTTTCTCTAATGTTTCCACAAAAATGTGTACTTGAATTCGGTATATGTAGATATGATTTTTTAACACGTTGATTACCATTATTGTTCCGTATTTTGTATAACCTGAGATTTTGGAACAGTAACAGGATGACTTTGAAGGCAGTGTCAGGCCTGGAAAAAGGGAAGTGCAGCTGAGCTGTGAACTGAGCTGAGAATGCAGCAAAATGTCAATGCAGTGACAGAAAGTGGGCGTGTAAGGTTCAGGGATGTCACAGGTGCAGACCCAGTCACCGCGAATGTGGGAATGGAAAATAGTGGTGATTTCAGGGATACTGGTATCGATGGAGGTGATGGCGGCGGCGCAGCAGTGCTGGTCCTACGGACGACACGGACACGGGGTGGTAGCAATACGTAAGGCGGTAGCGGTGATGGTTACGATGTGGGAGAGGGCATAAGAAGGAAGTGGAAATAATAGGTGTGGACGGGAGCCGTATGAGGGAGGCGTTAACAAAGGAAGCAGCGGTGACCGACACATTACGAGCAATGGGCGTAGCGGCGAACGAAGACAGGAGAGGCAAGGATGACAGGAGAGAAGACTGGAGAAGGAGGTTAAGGAGAAACGGGCAAAAGTAGGGCGGAGGCACCGACGACGGATGCAAAGACAGAGGCGACAGCGATGATTTATGTTGTCGCATGCGGGTCGTTGGAAATGGCGGGGACGTAGGAAATGGCGGGGACGGCGAGAGCTATTGCCGTGATGTGAACGAGGCACTAACGATGTCCGGGACGATAGCAAGCGGGGGGGTGGGGTGAAGCATTGGTGGAGACGGAAGAAGCGGCGAAGGAGACGGCAAAGACAGGGGGTGGCGATGAAATTTGTGACCCTGGTGCCGGAGAGGCGTTGAAGGCGACAGCAGTGAACAGGTGGTATTGTCAAAGATGGTGGCGGTAACAGACACGTTGGTGATGGCGGTGGGGTGAACAGGTGGTGGGGATGGCACAGGTGGGTACGAGAGCTGTGACAGTGGTTTGATGTAGGCGGTGGCGGGGTCGGGAGGGGGAGTGTGGGTGAGACGCAACCGCCTCGCGCGCGCCGCGGAAAAACGTGACGAGTAAAAATAGCCGTGAGCAGCCGCCTACAGGTTGCACGCAGCGAGACGCGGCGGACACCTCAGCCCGCCTCGCCACCCGCCCGTTCTGCGCTTCGGCTTACGGGACGTCCAGGGCTGTTAACTGCGATATTCCACGTCGATCAAGCGCACATTGTTAGCGCATTATGCACCCGAAGTGGACGGACGTGCACCCTACCTCCGCCGACTGCCGCGTGACAACTGAGGCTCGCCTCGCCGCGGCGTCTAATGAAATGTGATGAGTTCTCGTTCCTCGCATTGTGTGCCATGTGTACCTTCCACTACTATCATTTCACGCACGTACCATACAAAACGCGGAAATAAATTGACATTTAAAGAACCAGCAGAAACTTTAGTATTCAAACATTGCTCACCCCTCAAAAAATGGAACAGATATCGAAATGTAGGTAATAGAATAATAGCTCAGAGTAAGCGAGCTAAGATGACAAACATATTTCACGTAGCACGAATCTCTCAGTCAGTCGTAACACTGGTATGCTTATCGTGTTATATCGTATGAGAATGTTTATATTAAGTTTGCCCAAAATTTTGACGCATTTTTACAATTTAAATATAATAAATTATTCTTTTTATTTTAAATAAAATGTAAGTAATTTAGAGTTAATTTTCTAATTCGATTATAATCTGTTTGCTTCTTTAAAACTTTTATCAAAATTGGAATTAAATGAATTGAAATAAAAAATAGAAAACTGATTGTATTATTAATCATAATTTATAAAATTTGTAATTTGGCGTTGATATAGATATTGATATTAACTACCACAATGTCATTATCATTGACAAAACGTACTGAGCAAACAAATGAATTCAAAGGAAATTTAGAAAGTGTGAAGTGTCACTTTCGTCTGCAATGTATCAAAATGATACAATGCATTCCTCCTTAGGAACAACTATGTGCAGGAGGATCTTAGGAGAGATCACAACTCTGGTTCTCTGCAACTATTGAAGAAATAAAGAACATTAACAGGAATAGGTGAACAATGCAAATTTAAAAATAGGAACAATTAAAAGCATGGTTGGATCCATCTCATGCGACTGAATTGAAGATCACGGATTTGATCCGCTAAACTTACCCTCATAAATTCAAATCAAAATGCTCTTATTTGTTTTGAACGTAGCACAAACTTGACAAAAAATCCAGTTTGATTCTTAACAAATCTTACAATCACAGCGAAAAAAAAATCTGCTAGCATCAAATATACAGTCTCCGAAATACAGTTCGCATATGTTCCTTTTGAACGCCTTTTCCCCCCTCCTGCACGTGAGATCGCGCCGGCGCGAAGCGTGTAATTTAGCCCGTAATTGGCACGTGTCCGACAGGCACCATTAAGCACGCCCGGATCAGACGCACGCTGCAGCAGAGGGCGAAGCGGGACACACAGCACCGGCGGTTGCGCCGGCGGAGGGGGCGTGGCCGCGGAGCGGAGAGAGCGACAACACAACACACGAGGCGCACAACGCGACTCGGTGGCGCCGGCTCCGCCGCGGCCGCGGCTTATGAAAGCCTTGACGGCGACTCTCCGGGCCACTGTACTAGCTTTCCGCTACGCGGAAAGTTTTTGTAAGTGAATTTGGCCGAGTAAGTAAGTATTTATTGCTTCCGGGAGTGCGTTCTATTAAGCCTATTAGTCCCACAAGTGTAGTGTGTGTTAAATCCAGGGATATTACGGTGTCCCTACTCATGAGATTAGGCCCTGACCAACAAGTGAACTTCCGAAGATCTCCACGCCAATTATTCGTCCCAGCGGGGTGGCGACCCAGCCAGGAAATCTCTAGCTGCAAGCGCACATCAGGTCTTCTGGTATGTGTACAAGTCTAGTGCTTGTAAGTGTGTGTGTGTGTGTGTGTGTGTGTACGTGTACGGATGTGTGAGTATGTGTGTGTGTGTGCGTGCGCGATTCGTGAGATGAAGAGTATAAAGGTTACGGATAAGGGAGGAAAGATCGTGCATAAATTGACAGACGCAATATTCATTTCTCCATTGATATTAATCACGTGTCTTTTAGCAATTGTCACTATAGTATACGACTTTAACAACAGTTTATGCCGCTCAAATTACCACCAAGGAAAATTATAATCACCATTAACAGTAGTTCTGACGCTGGCTACAATTGTAGTCCAACATACAGTAAAACTATCTGTCCACAACATGCTTGCTACGAAAATCTATGAACCAGATTGGATGCTATAAGTAACCTGTTATCTAAAGCTACTGAAACCCCTCTAAACGCAAGAGGTCTGGCGCCAGCAAAAATAAAATGGTTGGATGCAGTCTCAATAAATTTAAAAATATTTAAAAATTATTTAAAGCGTCGGAGTCAACACAGAAAGCTAGAAAAGACATGAGACAGGACAGTGGTTCTTCATCGCAGACGCCACTTCAGCGGAATCGTGTGTGTGTGTGTGTGTGTGTGTGTGTGTGTGTGTGTGTGTGGCGGCGAGAGTACCAGGAAGCGGGCGCGGTGGGCGTGGCGGGCGTCGGCGTCGGCGACGGTGGCGTCGCACGCAAAGGCTGCGAGGGAGGCGTCGCGGCGCCGGCGCTTCGGAGGATCGGGAAAAGTCAGCAAACATCGAGAAATCGTTCGCTTTCGACCCGGGAGAAAACGCAAAGCGCCGGCGACCCCGGGGGCGGGGGCGGGAAGCGGGAACAGGGGCCAGGGCTTGGGGTGAGAGCGCGCGCCCGTGGTTTGCGGGGGCGGAACAAACAGGCCGCGTGAAGACGGAGAACGCATGGAAGTGGGTGCACATTTACAAAGGGTGTACAT